GGAGGCAGGGAGGGAGGGAGAAGGAGGGGAGAAGGAGGGGAGGGGAGGGGAGGGGAGGGGAGAAAACAAAGCTGGCTCAACATATCCACCCTCTGCTCCGTATGTGCACTCGATGACGGAGGATCCCTGGCACTGTCACTTCATCAATGCTCATGGTGGTGTCAGACAGAACTTGACCCCTGAGCTATTTTGCTGTTTTCCTTGGTTTGAAGGGGACTGTTTGTTCAAAGCTCTTGTTCTAAAACCTGTTTATGATTTTTTATCTGAAGTTGGGATTGCCATGGTTTCAGCACATTCCCATTTACTTAGTACAACTCAGCCCTTGTAAAATTGGCTGCCGATGAAGCACCTAATTCCAATTTTTAGGCATAATCTGATTAGTATTTTTCAATTACAATCATGAGCTGTGAGCACTCAGCATTTTTTTTTTCTAGCTCAGAATTAACACCAAGCTCCTTCCACTGCATCACTTTGCACCTTTCCAAAAAGAGAGGCTGACGGCTGAGGTATATTGCCACACAACACCCTATTAACAGGCTGTTGCTTGTTACAATTTACATAAACGAAGAGTGGATCCCTCTGGTACATATCCCAAAATATGCAACAACTTCACTGAATTTACACCAACCAACAAGCATGTTGGGTTTTTTTTCTTTTTGGTATTTTAATGGTGAAATATGTCACTGTGCAAGCAAACACACCCATGCCATCTGTTGGGTTGAGAGGAAGACAGCTTCTAAGAACAATTAAGTTTAGTGCTGGGTATTCAGTTAGCTATATTCACCCAGTTGTGAGAAGACATTCTGTACTCTCTTCTCTCTGGTCTTTCTCTCGCTTGCTCTCTCTCTCTCGCTCACTCTCCCCTTTTCTCTCCACTTGAATTCTCACTACTGATTCTTTTTCATCTCTGCTCTATCACTTCCTTCTCTTCATACTCACTTTCTCTTTCTTTGGTCTTACCCCTCAGACCAACCCCATCTTTTAGCTGGACTAATAAAGGTCCACTGTTGCCTGGCCAACAGTCTTGGAAAGGCCCTCAGAGGGCCTTTGGAAGGTAAGTGATTTAGAAGTGGGGAAAGACGACAAAGAAAATAAATGAGGTCGTTTCTAAGGGACAGCATTGTAAACACCACACGCCAGGACATCCTTGGCAAAGGTCCTTATGTTGGGATGAGCTTGTCCCCCTCAGTTCTGACAAGCTAGAAGCTGGATGATAGAATTCAGGCCTTTTACGAACAGTTTCATTTGTCCTTGGAAGAGGTCACTTATTACTATTGGGTGTTTGAAGGGGTCACAGGCAATGTTGATGGATCAGAATCATTGCTGGGCCCTGTTTTGAAAACTGACCCTCCCAAAGTTCCCGAAGCCAATTAGTATTTTGTGCCACAGGCTTCTCAGTGCAGTGGACCAGTGGTTAATAAACTTGTCCTTATCCATAAGCCACTGTATTATGTGACTGTGTCTGGGCCAGGAACCAAGGCATACTATGATTTCAGAGCCTGGATTCCTGTCACCTGGGGAGAAGACACGCTCCGGTGATGTAAGAAAGCTGATAAATCAACCATCACTAAAACCTGCAGACTTTGAAATTAAAGGAGAAAATATGTGTGCAGTTGGTTCAATTGGCACCCATTAAAGCTAATAAGTAGTCCTCCTCGTGAGTTTCTAGCTCAGAATGATCAAATCTGCAAAGAAAACAACATCCGTCCACTTTTACACTCCAGTGGAAGAGGTGGTCCCTCACGGTGGGGCAGCACAGTCTCGCCATCTGGAGAATAAATCAGTGTGAAGTACAGTATAGTTTGGGACCAAGCTCCGTGGCGGCAGCTCAGCAGTCAGTTCATTAGCCCCAAACTTCCAGGGATTAGAGGGGCATCAATTCTACTGTCGGATAGGATGAGACAGACAGGGCACAGGATTCAAGGAGCATCAAGTCCGCCAGGAGCCCCCTCCAGCTTATTCATAAAACCACAAAGTATCAACACACCCAAATAAATGCTTTAAATAACAGCCCCATCTCAGTTCCATAACATCTGAATTAACACCTTTCCTTCAGCCTCCCTCTCTCCAGGTCTTGAATGTTAATGTATAGTCCTTTATGAGGACAACTGGGAAGCTTGTCTCCATTATGAGCAGAGATTGGGTAATTAAGAAATAGGAAGGGACTTTCTAGACTCAGGGGAGATGAACAGTATTTGTAATTCAAATATACATTATATATAATTAATATTTTCATCACATAAAAACAACTGCCATGCCAGTGTTCAGAAACACTAGTAAATTCTATTTTTTCTAGACTGGCGCATTTTAACATATTTTCATTTCATCTTATTTATAAAGTGATGTCACAGGCATGGACTGTTCCAAATTTCAAGCAGAAAGCTCTGATATTAACATCTCTCTGAAAATTTTATTAAAAATGTCAAGGTCAAGTTTGGTTTAAAAAAAAAACAAAACCAAGAAACAAAACAAACTCCTAGTGAACTGCACCATTTAAAGATCCCTTTTTTCACATGACTTTTTAAATATTTATATTAAAAAGCAGAAGTGCCTGAGACAAACCAGCTTGTTGCTAGATTATAACACACTTCTTATAAATGTACATAATATATCATCATAGGTGTCACTGAACAGCTATAGTGACTGAATTGAAAAAAAGAACAAATGAATTCTCACTGATTCTTGCAAACTTGTAGTGTATTTCATCAGGCAAGGAGATAATGTTGATTTTCAAAAT